AGCGAGAAGCGCTGGCGGGGCGATGAATTTTAATGGCAACGCGCGCAGCGGACAGGCGCAGCCCGAGAGAGGCAAAAAAACGCCTCTGGGAGGAGTCTGCGCGCCCGGCCCCGCAGCCGCGAGCGGCGCTGCGCTGCGCATTCCACGGCGGCCGCCGCCGCCGCCCTGCGACACCCAGCAACCGCCAGCACCCACCTACCTGCCTGAAGAGGAAGGAAATGACGTTTCCAACTGTACGAGAAAATGATTCTGATGAATGGATTTTAATATTTTTCGTTTTAACCCCCCCCCCCAAGATAGAAATTCTATAATATGTGAAACGTCAAATTACTTGTTATTTATGAATTACATACGCTATAATTAAATATTTTCAGGCATTTTTCTTCTAGTGGCATTGTCATTATTACATATGGTCGGTAAAGACGAATAGAAACATCTCAAAAATCGTCATGATTCCACTTAAGGCCAGTAAGATATGGTTAGATAATTGTAGATTCACTAATAATAGTCTCAAAAACTTACATTACACGACGATAGACGATATACAGAGTAAAACAGTTTCTTTTGATCGCAATAAACGGCACCGCTGAGAACAGTTCTCCTGGTACATTAAAGTATACAATAGTGCGTTGTATATAATAATCTCTAAATATATATAATTAAATCAATAAACGACAAGTAGTTTGGACAATTAACACCTTTGAGAATAATTTTTCCCATCCAGGACCACAAAACTAGGATAACTCGCTTGTATTTAATTTCCAGTACAACAATGGATGTTTTCCGTACTGAATGAAAATCAGAGGAGATTCAGAAGACAGTTACAGGTTGGAAATGGTGCCTAAACAACATGAATTTCGAGCAAGAAATGGCTGGATATTACTTCAGTGTTGTAAGATTGCAACGGTTGATGCTGAAAATTTAGATTAGTTGGAACAGCTGCGCCAAATTGTTTGGAAAAAACAACTGAATTACACTTTTTTGGTGGATGTAACTGAAACCCTCATCTTTTATCATTTTTATTTATCGACTGTTCAGTATTACGAAACATCTAGAAAACATTCCATGAGCAGGCCATCCTTCAGGCGGCATAAAAAATCTATATTACTCAATTCCAATGCGCGCAAACTGCACGCAAAAAAAAAATCTACGCAGCCTCCGGCCGTGTGAGATGTGTCTAGTGGTTACATTTCTCAGGAACTCCTGAAAAATCCAAAAACATTTCACTAATGTACAATGCGCGCAGAAATAGAAAGAAAGAAAGAACGGAAACTATAGAACATTTGGCCACGTGAAGTGCGCCAATGGTTTCGTTAGACATCCAGGAACTGGAGAAAATTTCAAAAGCATTGAAAGAGTTTCGATTTCGACTGAAAAATTCGAATTTTGAAAAGCATTATTCCGTCTAATCGCGTAATACGCGTACCGACTGAAATTCTCACACTCGTTGCTTACGACACAGCTGATTTTATGCGACGGCAAGGAAGAAGCCGCTCGCCCTTAAATATTTGTAACTTACGTGTTGCGTTATGGAACAACCACATTTTTTATATTCTCGGTTTGCAAAGAACAGTCGCACTGTATAAATATACTATGTGACAATACTTCTCGAGTCTGATTTCGTTAAAATACTTAATTTATTGCAGAGTTATTTGAGAGTATTTTACTTGTTGTGCTTGAGCATTGAGCTTGCTACTTTTTGGAAAACTATTTTGAGTGGTTTTGCTCAGCTCCATTTCTGCTGCTGTACACCACTAGTAATCTTTATGTCTCGATTCTACATTTTAAATAATAAATGCTGTACACATCTGCTATATAATGTGACATGACGACGATCTTTTTTCGGCAAACTACGATCTTTTTTCTTCCTGGCCAAATTAGAGCAAACAACGAGTCTAGTAAGGATTTGAGCAAGAATCCCATAATTTTAATATGGGGATACGTGGTTTTTGCTTCTGAATTGTATTTTCTACTTCTGTATAATCAGAAACGATTTTTCAAAAGTTCGACATTTTAAACAAGTTTTACGAAAGTAAGTCATAAATGCTGCTCTGTATTTATTATTGGTCAATTGAAATCGACAAGTTCGATTCACAAGTTATAACTAGTGTAATTGATAAATAAAAAATTCGACTGAAGTAACTCAAATGTGTAACTACCAACAATGGAGGAACTAAATTTGTTTATTATTATCGCATAAAAAGTATTATTTTTATTAAAAATAATATTTTTTGCGCTTGAAAGATTAAGTAAAGCGTCCCGAAGTTCATAGCAAAATGATATGAACTGGAGGTGATGAGAGCGCGCGTAATAAGCTTCAGATAAGTGGTTGATCGCTCCTAAGATTACAATTCCGTATATTGAAAACCTCTCAAGCAAGTGCTAAAAGTATATTTTCGTGTCAGGCGTCTTCGAACATGGAATTATCTGTAACAAATCATTTACAATTACATATTGAATCAGATGCGAAAATGGATCCTTGAAAGAAGACACGCAACCCGAATTAAATAACGCATTTGTTTACTTCATCCATCCTGCTAGTGTGAAGAAACACTTTCTTTTTTTAACACGAATAAAATTATTTTAAAACATCAACAACTAACGACAATGGTAATTTACAGAACAGTAAGACCCTTTGGAGAAAACTCACGTTTACTTATCTTTGGCGCAGTCGTGAAATCTAGGTTACCGTAGGGTAAGCAATTTACCGGCCTTCCAAAGAAACACCGCTTCACGACACGATTGAATGCAATTCCAAGCCATTTGAGAGGCGTGTTTGTTTACTTTCACTCGGCTGAGCTACGGCGGCGGGCCCATCCAACGCAGGCGCCGCACGAACCAGCGCTTGGTCAACGCGGGGCGCCGCGGCCGCCGGCGCTGCGGAGCACAGGGCGCGGGGGGAGGCGCCAACAATGGCGTTTTGCAAGGAGTATAGTAATTATCGCAAATGTAAGATTCCAAGAAAAATTATACGAAATTTTTAAACGTTGGTCCACAAATATTACAAATAGTAATTCAGAGGTAAGTTGGACGAATATTTTCCAAATATTCCTTCATTACATAATTTGAAACTGAAAAAAATTAATATTATAATTTTCCCCCAATATCGCAATTATTTCATGTGCTCAACTACGGTATATGTGAAATATGCTACAATAGAGACGAAATAATGGGTTTCGAATTTTACGAAATGAGAATACTAAAATTAATATTTTCACTGGCATTTTCCGACCAAATTTCAGCCAGTGTTGCGTGGGTGTGAGGTATTACGCGGGCCGTGTTTTCATCTGAAGAATCTCAGAACAAAACGAGCGTAGCCGGATCATTAAAGACAGGGGGAGGCAAATTTTGCTCATTAGCATTCACCCACCATCCTCTCAAATACGCGAGGCGTTTCCCTAACTACGAGGCGGCGGTCCAGCGCAGGCGCGCGCCCCGCAACAAAGGAACCTCGTTGGGCGCGCGCGGCGTCCGAACGAAAGGCGTGGGACTCGCCGCGGCAGCCCTCCTGACTCACTGACCACTTCGCCGCCGCTTTGTCGCGCTTACGCCGACGTTTTCCAGCTCGCTAGTAGCCCCGGCGGCGCAGACGCTCGCTGCCGCCGGGGGCGCGTGCTTGCGGCCACACCGCCTCCGCCTCCTCCTACGCCGCCGCCTCCGCCGCCGTCGGGCCGCGTCGCGGGGGAGCGGCGGCGGCGGCGGCGGCGGCGGCAGGACCGGCTCCAAGATGGCGGCCGGCGCAGGAATGCAGACCCAGGGGGCGTGGAGGCCCGAGGGAGAGGGGTAATTTGAAGGAACCCGAAGGGAGGGGAGAATTTTCTTGCATGTTCCGAGATGAACAATCTGTGCGTTCGAACGCTTCTACAGCTCAGGCGATTCGTCGATGCGTGTTTAAACCCATGGCAAATGAATGTTGGAAACGAAAATGACCAAGACATTGTTACGAAAATTCGCGAAGACATGAAATCTTGTCTTCAAGTGCTGACGGTCTAGGAAACAGTTCCGTCAATACAGCAGTTAAGTTCGGCCACGACTTTTAGCAGTCGATGACCTGTTTATGAGCAAGGTTCCGTTTTATAAATGACGTCAAAGAATTTTTTGCTACTAACGTGACGATTCAATGAAACTGTTAACACCACAGATGCACTTTTTTTAAACTTAAACGTCCTACGTTACGCACCTTGCATAAAATATACAACAGGTGCATCACTTAACACTTTGACACCCACAACCGCACTTCACACGAGGAAATTTCCATCGACAGCGAAGAAACGTGCAACGACGAAGTCGTCGCACGCCGCACGAAAGAAGACATTACAACGTGCGAAATGAATCTATAAATACAACATGACGTCTTCCAAGTTCACACTACCAACGGGCTAGAATGCGCGATGGCGACAAGTTACAAAATCTGTTGTTTTTCTACACAGATGTGACACTTTACACTTGTCACGTGAGATCGACGAGCATGAAAATATTGAAACTATCAACCAACACTCGATGAAAAATTTGACCCGAAACAAAATTAGAAAACAATGCTTACCTTCATCAAGGAGCCTTTCCACATGTATGAAGACATTCGGAAAAGCTGCAAGTTGTTTCTTGTCTTTCAGAAGTTGTGCCAAGTAGTCCGCTATACTTTGCGTCGTCGGGTTAGTATCACTCATTTTGCTGGTTATTACGAACGAGTTCTGTAGCTGTCACTCTTATCTCGTAATTCTTTCGATGTGTATACCTGAGTGTGTTAGTGAGTATGAAATACTACGCCGATGCTCACACTCCGAGATCTCTTACGGCACTGAGACACGGACTCCCGTAGGCGCGCTTCGGCGCGGCGCGGAGCGGCGCGGTGCGGCGCGGCGCGGAGCAAGTGGACGGGTCGACTCGAGCCGAGGGGAGGTGGGTAGACTGCGAGCTGCTGCTGCTGCCTTATAGGGCGCGCGCCGCTCGCTGTAAACAGACCTATGCCGCGCCGCGCCCTCCCATCTGCTGCCCCCGGCGCCTCGCCGCGCCGGACCGGGTCATTTTCCTCGGATGCTGCGTGTGGCGGGCCACTGTTTTCATTTTTTTTGCTTTTGTTTCACTGTTTCTCCGGGAAAACGTTAGTTCTCGGGCAGTGAATGGCCGCCTCGCCGCTGAAAGCTCTTCAGCGGACGAGAGCGTAGAGCGGCGCGCAGCGCCCTCTGTTGGAGACAGTCGACGACGCGCGCCGCGGCTGAAATCGCGCGTAGCCGTCTGGATTTCTCATTCTGACCAAGAAGGCATGACGTCAAACAAAAACTGCTTTGTACGCCTCAAGCATATGCCCACAGCAGACTTACTGCCTTTAGAATTTTTGGTTCAACAGTGAAAGAGATAAATGTTTATTAACAATAGGAAAAACTGTAATTATCTGATACACTATCTTCATTATTTCGTAATCAACCAATCAATGCCGGTATATTCATTGTTTTCACCGAAAGGCACCAAAACTTCACATGTCGAATAGTTCGCAACAATGAAAACATGTATATCGCAACTGAAAATAATGACTATGAACGTTTCTCGTCCAACAACAATGGAAACTTATTGCAAGGGTTTCATTACTTAAATAATTGGGTAGTAAAGATTAAAGGCGGGAGCTTAAAGTATGCGGAGAGAAGTCGGAACGCATTATTTAAAATTAATAATAATAATAATAATAATAATAATAATAATAATAATAATAATAATAGTGGCTAAGTTCATTTTTCAGATCATATTCTTGTGTTTATTTACTTCTTAACACAATACTGGAAAGTTTTGGATCTCAGATTAATCAAACGTAATCAGTATGGAACTGATTGTTATTATCAAACACATTTATGATACTATACAACTCGTGATGCTACATCACATACTTTCTTGTATTATTTGTAATTGTTACGTAACTTAACAACACAAGTTGAACGGGAACCTGTGTTTCCAACCCGCAAAAAATGTTTGGCAGGGTTTGTGTGTGAATCACATTATTGAAGTTGAATTAATAGAAACAGGTAGACGCGTAGCAGTCGTTCATAGGTAGGGAAGTATAACATTGTTTCTCAGAGCTTGAATGAAAACACGTGAACGCGTGGTTCTTCTGCCTTTCGTATTTCAGGTTAACGGACACGTCAACTGGTATGGTCAATATTCCCGTAAATGTAGTGCGTATTTTATCTTGAGATTGACAGACAATTGCATAAATTTCAAATTAAGCGAAATCAGCTCGTTTTTTTAAAACAATTGCACATGACCTTCTTAAACACATGATTTTTACTTTCCTGCATTCGTAAGTATACTCGTATACGTATAAAGTTATGTAATCCTGCGGAAAATCGATTTCGAGATTTTTTTCTTCAAAGAGAGAGAGGTTCGTCTGTCTGTACGTCCATTCATCTGCCCATCTGTCCGTCCGTCTGTGAACATCACTAGCGTCTAAACTATACATAGGACATTTTCCAAATTGAAGAAATCCTTTTCGATCTGACTTGAGTTCAAGCTTTGAGATTTTGGAAAACTTTCTTTAAAACTACTATACAGCCCCCGCGCATTTACAAAATTTTATCAAAAACGACTCCAATTTTTTCTTTAAATTCCTTGTAAAAATTGAGTAAAATACACATATAAAGGAGATACAGGTACGATTTTCACTCTTAGCTCTGTATTTTCGAAAATTGCTGATGTTTGAATTTTTTCGGTGTCTTTCTACAACTACGAAATTAAAGATAGAGATTTTTCCTTCAAATAAAATTTGTTCTCCATAGTGAGTTCTTTCAATAAGGTCAAGTACATTTTTTTAAAAAAAATAGTACTTTTCGCGCAATATTATGTGTAATAAAAAATTACACAAACAATATTTTCTCAAAATTGTTTCTTTAAGCTTTTGGTGGGGATAGTGCTCTATAAGACGGCATTAACCCCATATTGCTGTATTCATTTGCTCTTTCAAAAATTAAAAAAAAATTACTTGTCTCTTGTGTCGTTAATATTCATACTAGCGACAACTTGTTCACATTATTGTATTTATGAGTACATCTTCTTTAAATAATGTCATATAAAGTTTCACGAAAACTCTACCCTTTTCAGTGAAAAACAGCTAAAAAGTCAGCTATTTTAAGAAACGCTCAAACGCTATTTTCTCAAAAACGGCTCTAAACTTTTTATTCGAACATTTCGAAGGGATGGTGCTAAATGCACTGTTTAATATCTCGTAAAACTCATTTTGGCGTATCTTTTTATTTCAATAATTACACAAATGTAAATTTTTTGAAAGATATCTCATGCCGTTGATATGCACATTTACAGCAATTTGTAAACACTATTGTATTTGTTAGTTAATCTGCTTACAATGACTTTTTAATGACGTTTCTCGAAAACATTAATTTTCTATACAAATTCAATTTTCGAATTTACATTAGCGCTTAAATGCCATTTTCATAAAAACAGCTCCAAATCTTTCAAATAAAATTGCCATTTATGATGAAGTTTTACTGTTCTCAAACATTGTAAAAAAATAATATTTCCGTTCTACTAGTAGAAAACAGAATAATTAAGAAAAAAAATTAAAAAAAGTCTTTGGGCGGCGATAGACGGCAGCCAGCAAGATAATGTGCCAAGTTCTTATAGCTAGCCGAAACTAATGAAAGTCTGTGCCGTTCTGTAGCACCAATAGTTTATAACAAACTCCGTTTAAAGCAAAAATCGCCATCTCCAATTTTTGGGTTTTGACATGTTAACTGTTTGCAATTTTCGAAACAATTGAGTGATAGCGAAAATGTTACTAACACCACATATTTTACCGACCCTTGTTGCATATGAGAAGAATATTGAGAAAAAAATTGGAGCGAGGTTTTGAGAAACAAGTGCCTTTATTTTGCGCAAAATTACACGAAAAGTACTCATATATTTGAAAATTGAAGCGTAACGTATTTTAAGATCTCTAAGGATCAGATTTCATGAAGGAAAAATATCTATCTTCAATATTATAGCTGTAGGAAGACATCTCAAACCAATGGCGCTCTTGCACTTTTCACAAACTCGGGAATTTCAATTAACATGAGACAATATACATTTCAGTTGCCGTCTGGCTTATTCTATCCTACTATTTTACTGCTATTTGACTATTATCTATACTACTGCTCCTAATTACAATATGTGCATTGTTTTTCATTATTTACAATATGTATGCTATTGGATGTTATTTATAATACGTAAACCAAGTCGAATGGCTCTTCCGACCAGAATCTAGTATTAAGTGGTTTGTGTCCGGCATTGATCCTTTGCTATCCGAAGGTACATTTTACTATACGAAGGCAAAGTGTGATAAAAAATTGTTGTCATTTATGACAAAATTTTGAAAATGTTTTTGAAGCTTTATGTAAAGTCAAAATCAAAATACCCGTTTGAAACTCCCAAAGCCTCGAGTTCGTTCAGGGTAAATGGGGTATAGAATTTTGAAAAAATCGACCGAATGGTTTCGGGGATAGCATTGACCAGAGACGGACAGACACATTTCGACGCGGATCGATTTTTAGATATCAAGGACCCACAAAACATAGATTCTGGCTACATCACGTGTTTAAGGATTTTTTAGCTACAGGATTTATCCTCTTACCGGGCCTCGGCAATAAAAGCTATTCTGCCGAAAATTCGCCGTTTTCCGGTGCACGATTACATAATTCTCTCTTCTTATAAAATACTTCGTAAGGGCAAAAACGTAAGAATCCTCTGCTTTCTGGATGAGAGCGATACAAATTTTCAGACAACCGCCGAAGAGGAAAACGCGCGTTAGATGCCGATATCCTACAATCATGTGAGTTTTATTTAACCCAGGTTATTTTGAAACGACGCGGGTGACAGAGCCAACAATATAAAGAAAAGTGAGCGCTCCAGCCGAGCACTCGATGAGGCGACGAGCGGCGACGACTGGCGCCGCCGCCTGGGCCTTTGAGTAAATTTGAAAAAGACGAAAATTCATTACAAGCGCTTCATTGTGTCACTTGCACATCAAGTATATGGTATTATGTAAGTCTTTGGAATTAACCTCATGGAAACTCAGTGATTCAGGCAAACATTTCCTTGATTGAAAGTATCAAGTTGAAATTCTCTCATGTGTTCTGAATTTCTTTCTTCACCCTTCGTTCTGAAGATTGGTTAAAATGATAAATTCTGAATAAATAATACATACTGAAAATCGACGAAACGCTAACATCCCAGTCGCACCAGTATTAATGAGATAGCCGGTTCAGCTTAAGCTACATAGAAACAGTTGACTCCACTTGAATTCCCATGCATCGCCGGATCTGATGACTGAAATTTACACATATTGACACATTTCAACCAAAATCAAGATATCAACATTTACGAATAATGAGAGGTTGAGTGTGACTGCCCCATGTCCTTCATAAAATTATTTTATATTATTATTATTATTATTATTATTATTATTATTATTATTACACCTCATATCTATTGTGCAAAGAGGAAAAGTTTGACACCTTTTCTTACTTTAATTTTTTCCTCTTTCTGTCAGCTATTTATTAACTTGTTTATGGTTTTAAAATAAGCAACCAAATGTCTACGTAATATAATTTTCACATGATCTGAAATTAATTTTAAACACGGTTGAAATTAATCTTTGGAATTAAATATATGTCAAAAGTACAACACTATGTTGTACCTCTGGCAAGGAGTAGTTGTACTTTTGACTACTACAGACAAATTATAATAATCAGTTAATATGAACTTATTTTATTAATGAAACTAATTTTAAACAATGTAATATTAATATATAATGCACAACAGCAATAAAGTTTACAGAAACTAGAAAAAGGACTAAATAGCATTGAAAAAGAAAACCATACTAATCTGAATAAATGTAGGCTAACATTAAAATAATTTAGTTCTCTAAATTATAGTTTAAACAAACTGTAATGCCATTACATATAAAAAATAAAATCAGTTATCTTTTCAGTTATACAGAATAAATAATCATCTATTCAACACTATAGTAGGTTAGATTGATACTAATTAACAAA